ACTCAGTCGATCAAAAATATAACCACCTTCGTAATAACTGCTATAATTTGCTGAAAAGTCGAAGGTATTTGTCTCCTGGAATGAATGAAGCTGGAGTTGGAGAATTCGGCAAGGTTTTTGGGGTGGTTGTATTTCTTGGTTTTTTTTTCTCGCAGCTACTGCTTCAAGGCGCTGTGAAGGGAGGCTCTAATGCAGTAATGTCATGACTGTATGATGGACATGGTATCGTAGTCCATCCAATTTCCTCAAGGCTGGCGAGTTATAATTACAATGTGGGGTCGGGGGTCATTTGGAGAAAGGAGATTTTGAGACGTTCAAGACAGTACCCTCGCACTGCTGTGACCAACCTCGGTGGTGGACGCGCTGGTCTAAATGACATGCCCAGCCGTTCCAAAAGCAACATCCTTTGGACGTGGGGTTCGGACTTTTCTCACAATCAGGTAATCACGCGTGCTTCTAGGTTATGGTCGGGTGGTGCTTTCATCGTTACTTGTGTCGGCCTGCCTGCAACAAACCCCTGCTGGTAGCTTCTGCGCAAGGGGTCCTCGTTGAAAGTGACCGCAGGCCTACGCTGAGGTTAACCTTCAAAGCTAATATCGTCTTTGCCATTGCTATAGAATCACTAGCTCGTGCCTGATCTTGGCAGAGGCAGAGACTGAGCTTAACGCAGCGCTAATCTTCTCTACTGCTCTCCTTGCAGCAGTGTTCATTTGAGGATTGTGAAGCATAGTCGTTCATCATTGCCCTTGATCTAATCCGTCTCCTACTACTTGGGATGGTAAGAAAGTCCTGAGCCGATTTTTCGAAAGCTCCAGAACTTTCGCTTATTGATCGATACCTAGAATCTGCTACGTGATAGATTATCGCTGTCGATCATACTTCTCCGCAGTAGGTATATATAGCCGGGTTGCCTTCTTTAACTTTAATCATGATGTCGATTCCACAAGAGCACTTTCGAGCGATCATCTTCAATGAATGGCGCTGCGGCACAGGAGCAGTGGAAACCGTCAACATTATCAGCATCGTATAGGGATTATACGAAGTTATACGTCA